CAACCTAGGTTCTTTCAGCCATCCCAGGTCTGTTGCACTAGCATCTCCCTCGAATGGTAATGGGTGGTCAACAAACCCGAGGATCGAAGGAGTATTGCACTATAGCTCAGTCAAAGACCTCCTGGGTCAGCTTCCCTTCCCATCAGGCTTCCTCCTTTAGCCTAAGATCTGTCTTCCTTGATTTCCCACTCCATCCCACACCGATGTTACCTCAGGTAAACTGAGTAGCCAGCATAAGTCACTTCCACCGTCCCCACAACCGTTTGGATTGTTTGTGTCACCCATTCTCTCAATGGCAATGTTAGCCGGAGCATCTGATTAGACTAGGTAAAAGTCACATCAACAGCCTTTCATCTGAGGTGGTACCTTGTGCATGTTGTCCACATGAAAATAGGGTCTTCAGTAATTCTTTAAGCGGCTGTTACAGTTCACAAGGTGGTAGTCCTATGGTGGCCTTAATAGAATGTGAACTAGTGGCATCCAAACAGCACTCAGCCCCTGAATCTGTAGGTACATACCCTGCTTGGGCACCTCCCTGGCAGTCAACCACCAGAACCTTGTGTAAGTCCTGTCTTGTGGCTGCAAACCCAATACGTAGGAAGGCTTTCGTAATTCTGCCGCATAGGCGTACTGTTTGTCTGATCTCAACAACACATCTGCTTAATTTCATCTATTTCCTCGTCAGGGAGGGCCCTGTGAGCAGACAGTCGTTCAACGATGGCTCTCGGGACCTCGCCGTGAGCTGCAGAGAAGACTACTCTGATGGGAGGGTTACTGCTCCTTGTGACGCCATGTGTGAAGATAATGGGTGTTTCCCAGCTGGCAATTGGGCACTTTCCTCAATGAACCCAAGTGCCAGCTTTTCCTTAAATAATATACATATTCCCCAACAAGACCCTTCTTGGTCAGGCTGTTTCACCAATGAATTCAACTGACTCCCGAGCCTTCTTGAATTTATGGGCAAGCGTTGGGTGTCCCGGTTTCCATGGGAGTCGCACCCAGATACGTCCGTCCCTGAACTGCACATGGTTCAAGTAATCTCGATACGTCTCTTCGTTTCGGGGGGCAGCTGGTCACCCTTAATATCCCTACTACACCCGGTCCCATAGTTATGGACCACTACACGTCGTATGAGCCAACTGTGCGTCTCTGGACAGACCTAGTCGTGCACCCCCAATCCGCATCACAGTACAGCCTCATCGCTGTAATACCGGAGCACTCCTCTTCCCGGGTGCAGGGAAATGAGCTGGTAACCCTGCCACCTACGATGTACCCGCTGGGAGCCTGTACAGGCCAACACTCCTCCTATGATTACCCTTCTCGAGTAAACACGAACCTCTTAAGTAAATCTCCGCCTACCAAGATTCCCCATTACTAACTCTGTAGCTAATGTCTGGGTTTCCGCTAGCTTCACACCTAACTTCCCTCAAATGTTTAGAACTGCTAGCGGCCATCCCTTAGTGGTAATGATATTGGCAGCTTCATTCACTATCAAGGCTGAAATTTCGCCGTCGATGCCCGGCTAACCTGACCGTCACATTGACTACTGGATATGACATGCATGGGACTTCCGCCACCAAAACCCTTCCATCCATTCATGTCAACATTACCACCTGTCTTCAGCTTCAAACTAATTGATAGACCTCCCTCTGTTATATAGATCTCTGTGCCCCACTGTGTCGAAGACAAACAGGTTGTTTCAGACTTCTTCCCATTAAGTAAACCACCCGCCATTATGGTGGGCAAGGCCACCGAACCATGAAACTGCTCCCCAGAACAAATTCCTCTGGTGCCCGCACTCACCACACTCATCACTGCTTCCACTTGTTCCAGCTCTCCGCCCTTTCCTTGCGGTTTGCTCATCCTTAGCTTGTTGCTGATCTGGTGTCATTAGGACACAGTGCACCTGTTGGTGCTACCATTCCAGCAAGCCCGACACTCATTGATATGGGCGCTACAGTCCCAGGCAAAATGTCTCCACAACACTTGATACAAAGTCTCACTTCCCCTTAGGTCCGCAGAACCCTTGTTGTTATAGAGGTGAAGCTCGGACACCCTGAACTATCCGTGTTCTTTCTTCACACAAAACACGCACCAATCTACATACTGGCCGCTTTAGTGGCTATCTACCCTTGCCCTGTGGGTGTGGAAACTCGCCCTGGGCAAAATACGTGCCGACCTAGTAAGGTGGTTTAGGACTATCTCTCGAATGTCTAGGAGAAGTTGACAGCGACTTCTCCTTGTAGGTAATTTCTCACCCCCTGACCTACGCTCAGTGAGATTATGATATCCCCTAACCCTTCATAAATTGGTTTTATTTTAATTCGTGAACCTATCGTCCGAATAATTTTAAGCGCAACTCATGCACTGTAGTGCTAGCCAGTTTCCAACTGAAACACCTGGCTAAGGACCCCTTCTGAATCATCCCATCATCAAATCCCTGAAACCTGTTTGTCAAGCTCAAAATTCATACGGAACTTCTCTAGGCTTTGACGCCATATCGGCAAGCCTCTAGAATCCAACAACCGATAAAGTATAGCTACCTTTAACTCTTCAGTGTTTGCCAAACATTTCCTTCTAATTGGTCTATTGACAAGTTGGAAATTAGTCAGTACTTCTGGTATTTCCGGACCAGGTCTAAGCTTTATACCCTTGAGCTGCGACCGCAAATACTACAATTTGACGGCATCTGACAAATCGTTTCCTGTCATCTATTCAGGGCTTTTAAACTGATCCCCAGAAAGCAATGTACTCAGTTAGTGTTCCGTCAAGATATGTCCGGTAAAATTCAACAGGGCAACCTGAGGGCAACATATGACAGGTGTGTGGCTGTTTGTTACCTGCGTGTTCGACACCACCTTGGGAATACTAGCCTTTAATGTATTTAACATATCTTTGTACAGTATTCATCTTCTGATGACATTCTACATCACCATGTGAATTCGTCCATAGGCCTGCTGAAGACTAACTGGGATTCATTATCCTCAATATCCTAGCTCATATAGCATAGAATGCTTGTTTCATTAGGCTTCCCATTTTTCCCTTCCCCCAAACTCTCAAGCAGTCCCTTGCAAATCAATCGCAGTCTACGTTAACTGCCGTTGCAAGTAGCCTTGCACCTTTAGAGTTCTGTTTCATGATGCCCTTTGTATGTCCGCCACTGATACGTTGTTAATTTTTGTTAACACTGAACCAGACTCTCCAGAACTCCCCATCCTGCCATTGTCGCAGTTTAATGAGGAGTGGTGAGCACTAATTGTAATTTACCCAGATCCCACCCCACAGCAGTCACGGTGTTAGGTAAGAATGAACGGGTCTCTAAGGCTTCTCAACAAGCTTAACATCCCTTTGTTATATTGATCACCTCTTGACTTAAAATGAAGCACTGTTAGCTCTCAAATCCACAATCAAAATGTGTTAATCGATGTGAAAAGCATAACCTAGCACTTTCCGTACAATAGCCACAAATAATACAGGACTTAACCTAGACTCCAGGTACATTCACAAATCCCACCATTAACATGAATCACAGACAATGAAAATTCACACAATAAAAAGTGCAGTATACAATTAAAATCACTTGGATAACACAAATAAATTCAACAATTCAACTTTGTGAATTCAGTAAATAAATAATGTGTAAACAGCTTGACCTTAGCCTTACTCAGTCTAAGCGTGGATGGTTGGATAAGGTAAATCCTAACCTAACTAGTGTGCTTATAAGCTAAATTTAACCTAGCATTAGAAATCCCTGTTAATAATAACTATGTTAAATCTGTCCTAGCTACTATAACTGTTGTAAATATTGGCACAAGCCTAGCCTACAGTGGCTACCTTGCAAATCCCCTGTACAATAAATAACACACAAGTCTCTCATACTCTGGATTACTTGTATCACTGTAAAAATAATTAAATATCACAAGCTTCTCAAGCCAACCCCTGGGGGCCTCCTAGTAAATTACAGCAAATACACCTTCTGTGTAAGTCCAGCTTGGCCTAGCTCTGTGTAACTCTGGGCCTAGGTTTGCTAACTTAACCTAACTCTGTTAAACTGGTTCCTACTGTGGCCGTAGCTATGATATCTTGAACCTAGCTATTCCACATCACGTGTTTTCGAAGGACCACTTTTGAAAATTTGTGTAGACTGCCTCCAAGTGATCGCCTACCCTGGCAACCACTGATTGACCACCGAGCTCCTGAGGTGGGTAGACAGATATTTTACACAAATGAATTGATGTTGCAGAAACATCGCCTGCATGCACGTATAAAGGAACAACTTACTTGGTGTTGGCATGCATATATCCTGAACTTCAACTTTTCCCTAAGCTTAGCCTTAGCCCCTTGGACTTCCCCTCAGAAACCACGTGCAACCGGAGCCTTAATTCCTGCAATAATTCAATTGTTATTAGTGAACTGCCAGCACCTCAAGAAATTCTATATCCAAGGGGATGTGTATTCCCCTAGTACAACTATGCAGAACACTGACACTAGCTTATACATAGATGAGAGACACTGGTACTTACTGGGCATGCACTCCCAGCTGCAACACAGGCCCACAGATCAAGACTCACACACAATTCTTCTCCCCAGACACTGGCCAAAGTGGATGGTTTTTTGTCTTACTTGTATTGGGCCTGACGGAGAGGTCATCAACGGACATCGAGTGCCTCTACCAGAATTTATCCCCCAGGTCTCGAATGTGAAGACACATGGGGGGGGCGCCGTCCTGCTGATCCACGGCACGTCTTGTCCAGTTGGTGTCTGTCTTAAAAGAATGAGCAGGTCGCCTCTCCAGACCCTCGTCTCTTCATTCACACTAGGGCTGCCAGTTCTCCCAAGCTAACTTATCCTAGTGTTTGCCAGGGGTGGGTGGGGGGGGGGGTGTGGTTTGGGTGGGGGGGGGGGGGGGGGTACATTATCGGCCTATTACTACCTATGTTGAGGTCTTAGGTCTACATTATTATTATCTACAGTTGCCTTAGTAAACCTAATATTAGTGTACTACCAGTAAAACTACCTACTCCTTCCCTGAAGGGTAAATCTATAAATTAAATAAGCTTACCAACAATCCATGCCAACTCAAGAGAATGCTTTGTTTTGGGTGGGGTATAAAGGCCACCCAGCTCAGCCGTTCCATTACGGCCATGCTGGATCTGTCCTGTGGAACTTTAGGGACCAAATAAGTTTCCACACATCGTAAAGGTTGCTTCATTTCCACTTTGTAGATTAGCTGTTAATTGTTCCATCCTGGGCATTTTGACTTTTATTCTATATTCATGCCGCAGGAGCATGAGCAAGGGGACACCGCCCCCCGTCAAGGAGCGCCTGGAGTTCCCTGTTCCAGAGTCCAGCAGCGGAATATCCCCAGGTGTACTGCGGGTCCTCCACCGGCAGGTATGACGTGGCCTATAAAGCCACATGTAAAAAACTGAAAATATTATATTAAATATTTTGCCCAGTGAGAGCGAAAAGTCTCCTACAGAAATTTCCCAAATGTTGCATACATGTCTTTATTCACCAAAGTTGTCAGTAGTAATATATCTACATAGTACTTGTATTATATACATGATATATCTAGTACTATACCTATGATATACCTAGTACTTGTATTATAGGTATGATATACCTAGTACTTGTATTATAGGTATTATATACCTAGTACTTGTATTATTGCTATCCAAAATCTTTGAGAAACTCGTGCACAGGAGACTATATGCATTTATAACGTCACAAAACATACTCAACCCCTGCCAATTTGGATTCAGGAAAAATAAAAGCACTAACGATGCAATTATAAAAATGCTAGATCTGCTTTACCAGCATTGGAAATAAGGAATATCCCTAAATTTTTTTGACCTAAGAAAAGCTTTTGAACGTAGACACGGCCCTATCCACAAACTTGACCATTATGGTATGGGCCTACGTTGGATATTTAAAATTTTTCCTTACTAATGGTATCGTTGTCCCCATTAAATACAAGACAAAAACACCCACTTATCTGGATTTCCCGAGGGAAGTGTCCTTGGCCCCCTGCTTTTCCCCTTAATACTAAATGATTTTCCCAAAACGTAACTCGACATGCCCCCCATTCTCTTTGTGAAAAACGACTTATGTCATCTCTTTTTTAATCTTGAAACCCCCAAACACCATTGTTAATGAGGAGTGATAAAAAATATGATTTTGTGACAGCTTAACGTTGAAAAACCTATACATTATGTTTGGTAGAGAGCAGGAGATGCGCAATTAACTTTAAGATCGACAACACTCAAATTTTACCAGGCATAGGGGGAAAATTTCCTAGGCCATACCTCGAAAAAACCTGAACTTCAGCCCCTACCAACACAAAACCAAAAAAATATCCAAAACGGTTGGGATTCTCCAGTTTCGTATACGTCCCAAAAAAACTCCCCTTTCCACTAACCCTCACTTTATATCCATCCCTCACTATGCATCTGTGTTGGGGGTTTAAAGGCGAACCCACCTAAAGCCAATAAAAACCCCAAAAAAAGCCACGAAAAGAAAATCACTAAACCCCACCCCTGGCAACCCCCCCCCACTCTTTAGATTAAATTACTCCCTTTTCATACATCCACATTACTACTGGGGAATCTGCATCTTGGGCCCCTTAAATTCCAATATTAGCCTTGCCTAAAAGGGTTTCTTGATTTTTGGGGACAAAAACCCACGGGCAAAAAACCAGACACAAACTCTCTATGACTTTCCCCCGTGTCTGACTAAACCTTTACAAAAATTAAATGTATGTAAAAGGGCCCCTAAAATCGGGGAAACACCCTCCCTAAAAATTCCAAAATTCAGACACATTTTCACCTTAAAAATACCATCAAAAAAACCTTATCCCCTGAAAAACCTCTGTCACTAATAAACGAATACCCCTGGTGATTCACATTACACTCACTCACCCTTTCCCCTAAACAAAATAAAATCTAATCTCAAAATAATGAAACTTAATAGTCAAAAGTTGGCCTGTGTACTCCCAAAACTGAAAAAATATTATTGCCAAAAAAAGCATTCACATTGCTAAACTCAAACTAGTATTTAGTCACTTAGCCTAATACCAATTATCTCATAATTCTGTAAATTTTAAACCTAAAATTTAATATAAGTCTGCCCGAAAAAGCCAGATGCTAGGCGTTTAGTGGTACACCTGTAAATTTTTATTTTTATACTGTAAACCCCACAAAAACCAAATTTCTGTAAACTCAGCTTGTAATATTTAGAGAATAAAGTTTTTAATTTGAAAATCTGGGCCCCCCCCCATACCCATTTAAACCATGCAAAGGGGTAATTGTTATGCGAAAAAAATCGGGTTTTTTGGTTTAATTTTCCCTAAAAAATAAAGGAAATAAAAAATCCCCTGCAAGACACCCCAAAAGTATGAAAAAAAAAATTTTTTTTTCCCATGAAATGTTAAATTTAATACACACAAACTGAAAAAGGCATGCACATTCATTTACTTTTCTTTTTTTTGAAGATTGGGGATGATTGATGGGGTGGGAGGAGGGGGGAAAAAGGGGTTTTTGTTTAGAAAGGGGAATCCCCCTTCCCTTAAGACTTTGGGGTGAGTCCTTTTCTGGGGTTACTTCCCTTTTTCTTTTAATCCACTAGGACCAGCTTCGAGCATGGATTCTTTCGTACAACAATTGTCCATAGTGGCTGTACCTCTGTTCCCTTTTTTGCTTCCCAAAGGTTTCCAAACTTTTTAGTGTACAGGTTGCAAAAACGGGGTTGCAAAAGGTGTGAGGGTATTTTCATCAAAAAAAATTTGCACTTCAAACCCCTTTGCCACATTTTCCTTTAATTTTTTTAGTAGGCAAATTTTCAAATTTTTCTTCCCCTCCTTGAACCGTTTCCCGGGCTGGCCTCTTGCTCTTTAATTTTATCTTTCAGCTCTAGTGGTTAGTTTTTCATTGTCCTCCTCCCCAACTCTTCCCCAAACCCCCCCCACTAACCTCCACCCCAAGGACTTTCCCCAAAGCCCCCATGGTTCCTCAACTGGGATAATCCTCTCAGGGTTAGCCCAACCCCTTTAAAAACCCTTTTGTTAAATTCTGGCCCAGTTTTTCCCAGAGTTCAAGGTTTCTTGTCATCCCCCCAAGCCTTACTATAAAGGTTTAACAATTTGGGATATTAATGCTCTCTCCCCAAAACCCCTTAGAGTCAGTTGAGTTTTTGAGGTCACTACAAAGCCCTTTTAAAAAGAGCTTTTGTGTACTTTTTTTAAAATTTTCAAAAACCGCTGGTCCCGGGGGTGCAGGAGAGGAGTGGTATTAGGAGGCAAAAACTTCACCTTAATGAAGCTCATGTCCCAAAAAGTCGCTCTGCCACGTCTGTAGGTTTGACCAGGGCATTGTCAAACCCAGGAGGCACTTAAGTTCTATTTTTTCAGTTGGTAATCTTTCACATTGGGGAAAATGCATGGTGTAACCAGTTATAGAAAAAGTCCCAGTGACCCATGCCTACTGTTTGCCCTCCACAGAAACACACAAATTATCCTTGAGGACATTCTTTTGCCTGAACGCTCTGGGAGTTTCAGAGTGATAACACTAATAAAGGCTTAACTTTGCAATCACCACTAGCATTGGCACACATCAACAAATAAGCCTGTCTTTCATAGGCTTATGTCCTGGGAGTGCCTTTTCCTCCTGATAATGTAGGTCCTGCTTGGCATTTTTTTCCCAAAAACAGGCCTGTTTCATCACAATTAAGCACTTGTTCAGGTTTCAGTCCTTCACTGTCTATGTACTCCTTGAATTCCTGCAACATATTTTTTCAGCCGCTTTGTGGTCCGAACTGGCAGCCTCACCATGCCTTATCACACTATGTATGCCACTACGCTTCTTAAATCTCTCAAACCAACCTTTGCTGGCCTTAAATTCACTCACATCATCACTAGTTTTCAGGCATTTTTTTAATTAAATCCTGATGCAACTTCCTAGCCTTTTCACATATGATCGCTTGAGAGATGCTATCTCCTGCTAGCTGTTTTTCATTTATCCACACCAAAAAGAGTCTCTCAACATCTTTCCCTCACTTCGATCTTTGTTTCGAAAACACAGTAAACCTTTGGCAAGACAGCTTCCTTATTGCCTTTTTGGTGCCCACAATATAGCGATGGTGATTGGGGTTTCTGGGACAACCCGACCAGGTCGGCGATACGCACTCCACTTCATACTTATCAATGAAACTCTTTCTTCATTTCTATTGGAATTCCACCCTTATTGGTGTAAGGTTGGCACTAGAAGCTTTCTTGGGGCCCATGGTCACTTATTTCCAGAAACAGCACCGAAAACACTGTAATAATACAAATATTCCGATTGTATGCTTGGATGTTACCGCGGAGGCTGGCTGGTAAACAATGGCACGGCGGCACAATGTGAGGCTGCTGAGGGCGCACATTGGACGCGTCTTGGACGAAAATCGGTGAGCGGGTTTTTAAGCGGGATGCGCGGCCCAAAAATTTTTGCGATTAAAGCAAGCGGTATGCGGATTAATCGCTAGTGATGCCATCAGTATGCCGGGGGTCCACTGTATAGGTATGATTTAACCTAGTACTTGTATTATAGGTTTTTATATACCTAGTACTTGTACTGTAGGTCGTTTAGTTTTGATTATAATGTACTATAAGGTATGTAGACCTCTTTGTACTATAAGTACATATATCTAGTACATGTACTATATCTTTAGTAATTGACTATGATGTATCTAGTAATTGTACCATTAGTAGGATTTCCTAGTACTTGTACTATAGGGAAGACTGCATATATTCCTAAAGTCTGATCAATACTGGTATTACTTTCACGAGGAAGCGGTAAACCGGTAGGAATCAGCCCTGGGAAATGGGTAGGGTCACGCGCCTGGGTAATTGGTAGGAATCACGAACCTGGGGAATGGGTGGGAATCACGCACCTGGGTAAATGGGTGGGAAAACACGCACCTGGGTAATGGGTGAATCACATGCCTGGGGAAAAGGTAAGATTCACGTGCCTGGGTAATGGGTAGGAATCACGTTATTGGGTAATGGGTAGGAATCATGCACCTGGGTAATGGTAGGATCACGCACCTGGGTAATGGGTAGGAATCACGCACCTGGTAATGGGTAGGAATCACGCACTGGGTAATGGGTGGGAATCACGCACCTGGGTAATGGGTAGGAATCATGCACCTGGTAATGGTAGGAATCACGCACCTGGGTAATGGGTGGGAATCACACACCGGGTAATGGGTGGAAAGCACGTGCCTGGGTAAATGGGTAGGAATCACGTGCCTGGGTAATGGGTAGGATTCATGCGCCTGGGTAATGGCTAGGAATCACGTGCCTGGGTAATGGGTGGTAATCAGATTAAGTACAAGTGGAGGGTAGCTTCAGTTTCTTG